TAAAAAATTTAAATATTAAAAAAATTAGTAAAAATCTTCGCAGGCAAATTTGCCTGTGTTACAATTTAAGAGATAGTATCAATATGATTTCACAAATAAATCAATATCTTTTTAAATAGATTATTACAGACTAGCAAGCATTTTCTATTGTTGAAAACAAAGATTTGCAACTATTTATTAAAAAGTAATACCATATTATTTACTTTCATCAAAACAGTTTGTCTCACAAAGTATTTTAAAATTATATTATAAAAAACAAAATGATTTTTGTTATTTTTTTAATACTAATAAATAAAATTTTGCAATTATAATAGATATGTGGACCTTCTATACTAATCTTGGTTTTTTGCTATCATACTTTACTAGATTGATAATATAAAGCAAATTTTGTTAGATATAATACCACTTCATGAGTGACAAATAGGCAATTATATAATTAAAAAAATTTAAAATCAATAATATTGGCTTCTGCATTGTTTTAGCTACTATTGATAACACAACCAATATAGATGTATTTGGATGTATGTTTCATAAAAAACTTCAATATAAGTATTGTAATAAAGATTTTGAACATATTTGTTATGCAGCTTACATGTTAAATCTTGCAATTTCGAAAGACATAAAAGTTGTTGTTAATTCAATTGTAAAATTAAGAAGCTTTGAAACTATATACATAAACCTTAACCACTATTTAAAGAACTAAAAAGGATATTTTAAGCAAACAGAAAGCTTTTTTTTGTACTTGACTGAGATGTGCCTACAAGATAGAACAGCACATATATCATGATTGAAAATATGGTTCAAATTTGTAAAATAACTGACGATCTTGTAGAAAATAATTCAATATTAACAGATCATTATCTAAGTGATGACAAATAGAATAAAATTAGTGTAAGTATTTGTATATTTATTTTTAAAATTAATTTATAAAATTTAATTTACTTATCCTTAATTAGATAATTGTTACGTTACTCAAACTAATAGCTAAAGTGACACCAATCTTATCTTCTTCAACTTATCCAACAATGGAAGACTTACATTTAATATTTTTGACTATTTTAAAAATTTTAAACAATGTATTAAGTTGTGAAATTTAAATAAAAAAACAAATAGCACAACTAATGTACAAAAAAACTTAATGATTATTGGGCTATTTTTCAAAAATGTTGCAACATATCTGTCATGTTGGATCCAAGTATAAAACTATTAGTATTTGATAATAAAATAGTGCCAATTATACATGAAGCTCTGTATAGCATTTACATATAGTATTCAAATGAAAAAATTTGTTCTCTTGTAAATACTAATACTAATAAATTAAGAAATTATTTTAGAAAATATCATAATGAAAAATCAAAAAATAATAGTTGTAGTGTTCTTGAAAAATATTTTATAGCTATTGAAGAAAATTGTAACTCTCTAGATTTCTGGAAAACATGCTCTGCTGATACATGTTACTTTGGGCTTGTACAAATGGCTCAAGACTATTTGGTTGTACAAGCCACAAGTGTTCCAAGCAAAGAAATGTTTTCCAAAGCAAAGAATACAATTACCTTATTATGCAATTGGCTCTCTAAGAAAAATGCTTGCGCAAGTCTTTGCTTAAAGACTTGGTATGAATTAGATATTATTGATTGTGTGGAAGGTCAATAAATTAAATAAATAATAGTTGCAATGAAATAAATATTATATAATATTTTTTATGTATTAAATAAAAGTTTATATATTTAATAAATAGTAATAGCAAGTATTTTGAAAAAAAAAATAAAATAAAAAAAATAGCAAGCATTGCTTTAGATTAACAGGTTTAACAGAGTTTAGCAAGCATAATTATTAACGTTAACAAATGTGCGTAAACAGAGTTTGAGGCACGTGTGCTTCGAATCGGTTGGAACAGGATAACATCCCTAAATTTTAGAGATTAAAAAATATACGACGTAAGTTTTTTTATTACGTGAATGTATATAAAAGTAATTTAATAATAATGATACGAAATTAAGTTTTAATTTAATTTTGTATCGCTATGTTAATTATTCCTTAAATTATTTTATATACATTCACGTAATAAAAAACCTACGTTGTATATTTTTTATCACTAAATTTAGGGTTTCGTTTTATAAACCTGTGTAAACCCAATTCCGCAAATCCGCCAATATGTTATAATTTTTTATTATATACTAATATATCAACAGTAATGCTTCGATCCTACTTTTGACGGGCTATTCGGATTCTATCAAATCCAAATTGAATCTGCATCAGATTATTATATATAAAACCAGCTTTTAAGCACATCCTTAGATCTGTTATTAAGTTCTTTGGCCAATCCGAGTAAAAATCTCTGATTTGAATTATTTGGATTGAAGGATCAATTCGGATTTAGGATCGAATCTCTAATCAACAAATATAACATAATATATTGGGAACCCCCACAGCAAAAGGGCGCATTGGGACAAAAATTTTAAATTTATAAAAATTGTATTCCTATTAATCTAATTCTTCAAGAAATCAATTAAAATAAAAAAAATTTTTTTGCCCAATGCACCCTTTTGCTGTGGAAATAGTCCTACAAAACTGTTCAGGTAAATCATAGTGCTTTGCAAAGAAATGTGGCCCTATGATTTTTGTGATGATGAATGAGATTCTTAAATGTCTATTAATTTATATTTTCATCAGTTATATTTATATTTATTTGAAATTGGTAAGATTCTTAAAATCTACCGAATCTCTGATTTTCACACGACATTGTGATCTGCAGAGGTCACAACTTTTTGCAAAGCGCAACTAGTTAAAATCGGTTTATGTAGTTAACTAATATAGCTCATTTTTAACGGTTAATATCCCTATCTGGGTTAGTAGACCCTTTTTTTTTTCTGAAAGCTTTCGAAATGCGTATAATTTCGGTTTTTGGAAAAATGAAATCCCAAATTACCCCCGCTAAGCTATATTGCGTAAATGAAATAATTAAAAGGAAAATTCTTTCTACTTCGTCATAATAACTTGCAGCTATATTTTTAATGATATCAATCGAACTTTTCCAATTTTAACTAATCGTATTTCCACCAAATATAAACTCCAACCATTAAAATTACACGAAAAAAATTAATATATTAATTTTAATATTAAATTTGAATCAACTTGCAATCGTTATTTATTTCAACTTCATAAAACCCAATCACGACCCGATCCGATTATTAGATATTAATCTGATTTAAATTTCAAAGCATTTCTCTGAGTTACATTATTTTTATGCGTTTGCATTTTTTCATGCGTTAAATTTATTGCGCATACGTAGCATTGAAAAACATTATAATTTTCATTTGTAAAGTTTATTTTTTTTCAGTTTTTGATATGCATATGTCTTATAATACGTACGTACATACATACGGCATAATTTATACCTTTGGTTTTAATATTCCAACTGCATAAATTCAATTACAAGTGATTGACCAATCATAAATTATTCTACAGTTCCTATACTCAAATGACGGGCTGATCTAATAAATATAAAATCCAATTAGTTATAATTCCGGTCAAAATTATTAATTATTTGACTATATCTGGAGTAAAATAATTTGAAATTTGATCGAATGATCGATAATTTTGACCGGAATTATAACTAATTGGTTTTTATATTTATTATTAGATTGTACAGATCAGCCGATATTTTTAGTTTTCCAAATCACTTTTTTTTATATCGATGTATATTGCAAATAACTCAAGTCATTGTCAAGACCAATAATGTGGTAGAATTGTTATAGTGTTAACATTAACCAAGTTTTTAATTGAGCATTTATTACGTTTATTATTAATTGTATAATCAAAAAAATCTTTGAGGTTCAATTTTTTCGATGTTTTGAATTATTATTAAACTCATTATACAGTAAAAATAATTTATATAACAAGTGGTTAATTAATCTAATGAAGCTATAGTAAATAGCTATTAGAAAGTAAAGATATTAACAGGCATATAAAATGCCATTTGATGATAAAGAAAACGTATTGATAGTCCAATGAATCAAAAAACGTTATCTTTCTTTAATGTCGATCAGAGCACAAAAATTCTATTGTAAAATGACGGAAATTCCATCTAGTTAAGTTTATTTTCGGCGTAGTTTTAAAACGACCGAAAATTTTATAATATAAATATACCGTATTATTTTCACAGGTTTCTAAATTTCGTTTACCGAAAAAAAAGCAAGTTACGATATGCTGAAATTTTGTGCCCTGATGTCAATTTAAATTTGTCAAACTTAGTTCGGTTTTTTGATTATATTAATTGTTATTACTATAATAATTATGTGGTATCGTGGCTCCGTAATAAGTATCAGAATTTCCAGGTGTATGATAACTAGTACTTGGCCCGGGATTAAGATTTACCCCACGAGAATCACGCCGAAACTCGGTGAACCCATGGCTGGGAGGACTATGAAAGTCTTCTAATTCCCGTCGAGAGATATTGGTCATAGGTGCACCAAAATCTTCGTCGACGGATAGTTTCCATAATCTGCGTGATATTATAGCCATTATTGAATATACAATGGTAATTATCCAACTAAATGCTACGCTGGTTACGTAACCATGACACCATCCCATTATTGCTGCAGAATAAGGATTTCCTGACTGGTCAGTAGGTCTGCACGATATGATAAAACCGACGTACGCTGGGTATATGTTTGTTAATGCTATAACAAATACAATAATATTTTAATTAGATGTGGTTTAAGGGTATATTACTAATAGTTAAATGTTATACCTGCCGAAAGCCATAACAATGCAAGACCGCTAAGAAAAATACAGAAAATTCATGATTAATTTTATTTTATATAATCAAAGTTTCTTATGCATATATTTTAATCAACGTACAAGTCAACTATCGTATCGTATTTATGATATTCAGATTGAAATCGACCAAATGATATTATGATATGATAAACTATAATAAAAAATCGAAAATATATCTATTATTAAACCATTTTTACCAAAACAATTGTTTTTTTGTAATTATTCCAAAAAATATAGCTACCGCTAATAGCGAGTCCGAAAAAAAGAACAGCCCACCAGTATGGTTTTATTCCATGTGTTTTGAACCTTTTGCAAAAGAAAAAAAAGTTCGTAATGTTTAAAATTTTTAAATCGTGAAAAACTTTATAAAAAAGACAGGAAAAAAAACATGCATACCATCCATTTGCGAAAAAATCGTCAGAACTTCTATCCGGATACTGACATTTAAAATTTGCTATCTGTGTTATCTCTTTAATGATGAGAATAATAATCGAAGAGTATATTTTAACATTCACATTTATTCGTTTTTTTTCGATAGTAAATGCTAATATAATAATTGGATAAGTTTAAAGGCAAACCTGCAGCGAGACACACCAGAACCAACAAAACAATTAATACCCTTAATGTTTTATAGATATTGTTTAAAGTTCTAGACATATTTTAATTATAAATCAGCCACGAAAGCAAAGTTATAACGAGAAATCAATTGATATTAATGTTTGCCAATCATAAATTTTTATTAAGAAGATGACAAATGTAAAAGGGAATGCGATAGTAGAAAGTAGAAGCAATATATCCACCTCAGGCATAGTGCACATACTTATTAATAAATCATTTAATGTTGCACTATATTTAGGACAAAGTACGTACTATTCTAATGCATAATGACAATGAAATTCTGCATTTTTAGCATTACCTAAAAAATTATTTGAACATTACTCTTTTTGGAAACAACTTAACAATTGTTGCAATATACGTAATACACACTCCGTTTGCTTTGAAGGTAAATACATTCTATATAATGAATATATAGATACCTAATACGTACGTACTCTAAAACCCTATCATCGCGTTTATCACAACTAAAAATGTGAAATTCCCTTAAATTGTTGGCGCTATTTAAAGTTCAGGATGAAAATATTCAAAACCACAGAACTAATATACATTTTCATGTGACCCTTAGTTTTGATCTTAAAATATCTAGGTGTCGCAAAGAAAAAAAAAAAACCAAAATTCGGGTTTTGAGTTCTTGTCAAACTCAGCCCTGCGACATATGTTACGTAATTATGATTTTCATATATGCTGATACATCGTTTATCGGATTTTTCAGGGACAAGTTCCTCATATATTTATATGCTAGTTTCGTTAGGTCACTCCACCTTTTAAGGGTAAAAAAATTTCCAATCTATAATTTGGCGGGAAACCAGTCTAACTGGAACTGACATTATACTCTTCTCCTTTATTCTGATATATGTATGCTAAAGAATATCTCTGATATCATACATTATATACTAATACAATGGAACTTCACCAACCGCACATTTAACCGAAAACAATTTATCGGAAGCATATTTCTACCGAACATTCACCCGATATGCTATAGCTGTTTTCAAAAGGATGAGAAAAACGATTTCCATATAAATCAAAATAAATCAAGAATTTAATCAGTAAAAATTAAAGTTCCGATTAGAGGGTTTTGAAAAACTATGATCTGCATCTTCCACAATTTTTTGTTATGTCTGTAAGCAAAGATATCTTTTCTAAAATCAAAATAACTGTCAATAATGTAGAACGAATATTAAGTAAATGTTCTGTCGTTTAATGCTCCACTCCTTTAGTAAATTGACTATCAGTGAAATGGACTATCGGGAAGGGCACAATGGCATGTATTTTAATCCAACTTTCATATTGAAATTTAATATTTATTAAAAATTTTAAATTTTACAAAACTCGCTTAAGTTTTCTAAGATCATGACAAGCTTGGCATACAACCTCTACAAAAAAGTGGTTTTACAAGCTACAATTTTTGTTACCATTAGTCGGGATAGAGTTTCGAAAACTCGTTAATGTCGTGAATGTTATAGGATCTGGATTTTTGTTTATAATTTTAACCTATAATAATATAATAAGGCAAATATTCAAAGGATTAAGATTCTACGTACGTCTTCTCTCTTTTTTATTAAAATCTAAATAAAAATCAAATGCGTTTCCTTAATATTAGTAGATCTTAAACAAATACTATTTTGACTCAGTCTAAAACCCGATGTTTTTATATATTTACACAGGCTACATTTTTATTTAATAATGTCATTGATACTTTTTTTAGAGATACTCAAATTAGCTAAAGGTAAAAGGTAAAAAAAGTTTTAATTTTAATACCAGCTAAATGGGTAATTATTTTTTGAATTCAGACCAAGATGTTATTACGTCATATATAAAATTGGTCCGGGTTCAAAAATAATTACCCAAATATATTATACATGTTTGTTACACTAAAGTTAGAGAACGTCGATAGCCCGACTCGGAACAATTATCAACCGAATCATGTTTTTGCTTACTACTGTACTATCATAAATCTTGCTGCCAATTCGATAAGTTAATTGATTTTGGTATATAAAATTTATTGCTACTTGTTCTACAGCATTATTATTATAGTTTGTACGACAATTTACGGAGGCTGCTCTTGTTACCAAATAAATCTTGGCAAGAAGTATAAAGGAGGCTCGGAATATAGACTTTTATGATAAGCTTAACACGATTAGGTGCTACGTAGTATTAAAAAAGTTAGATGTGATCAAGAGTTCGTCAACTGGTTTAAAAAAAATAGATATCCAAAAAATCAACTTTATCGTATGTAAATGTATTAAGAATTATCTGTTATGATAATATATAGTTATTGCATACGAAGTATGCAATAACTGCTGTATTTTATGGACGATGATGATTGGTTGGTAACCCA